CATGTGTGCTTACAAAACACTAAGTAAATAAAACATTCTTTGGGGATACCTTGGCCTTCGTATTTTACTCCCGTCAACAACTGTTTATTGGCAATATGTTTTTCTTGGTGTATTGAAAATCGGAAGGAATGTTTTTTATGAGAAATATTCTTTCTAGTGGATTTTTAGAATGGATTTTGATATGTCAGTTGGTCTAACGACACAGTGCGATTTTTTACTATTTCTAGTAATTCTATTATCTCTTGCGCAATTTTCTTCTTAAATTCCTGGATCTCTTTCTGCCCTGCCCATTCAAACTTCTTTTTTTGCGTTCTGTATTTTCTTTTTTCTTTATTTAGTTGACGTTCTCAAGGAGTTCGGGATACCAGGGAGGAATTTTGCCTTCCCTTGCGCAAGTGAAACGGTGAAAAAACCTTGGTAATTTTTGTATTTTTCTCAAGATCTGTATGAACTCCTCTCCCCCCCCTCCCCCCATACACAAACTATATATTATTTCCCTTTGCGCAGAGTTACCTTCTCTCTTCCTTACCTTTCTCTTGACTCCCCTCCTCTCCTCCCCTTCTCATTTCCCATTAAAAGTGTCACTTTCCTGCCCTTTTGCAGAAACTATCTCATCATGCTTCCATACCCCCACCTTCTCATGTGTAGAATGACCCCCCCTTCCCTCATTGCAGAAATCAGACTCCTCCTCCCCCTTGCAGAACCGCGTCCCCCTTTTGCAGAAACCTTCCCACTTTGCTGAAACTAAAGCAGAAGCTGCCCCACCCCCTTTTTGCGGAAAGTTGTCTGCTTCCTCTTGGCCCCGCGAGGAAACGGAGGCAAGACCCACAAGGAACAGGCGAAGTACAAGGGGGACGATAAAGCAGGTGACTGATGGAAAATGGATAAAACAAGTGTGGCAGGAAGTCGGGAATGACGGACTGGGAATGCGGGATGAAAGAGAACGGGAGAATTGAAGAGGTAATGGGAATGAATTAGGTAATTAGTGATGGTCAAGTAAGCGATGATAACGGAGAGAGGGAGATAACACGCTCGCGGGGAAGCGGGCGCGGAGAGGGCATCGATAATACGATTTGCATGTCTGGATGAACCCGGCGGGAAGGGGGGTGGAGGGGGGGAGTCGCGCCGGGTTTTCCTCCAAAGGGAGAGGCGGATGCGGGCGGAATGCAGCAATGGGCGCGTGAAGTGGTGCACGTGCACGCAAAGGAAGGAAGGTGGGTGGGTAGGGAGGGAGGGAGGTGAATGGGTAGGTAGGGAGGTAGGTAGGTGGACCAAGTCAGTCAGTCGGTCAGTCAGGCACAGCCAGAGAAAGAGGGACGGGGGGAGGGGAGAGAGGATAGGCGGAGGCCACAAAGCCACACATACTCACCTTCCCCAATCTTTCGCAGAAGCTAAAGTTTTTTTTTACCCCTCTCTCTCCCCCCAGTAATAAATGGCGCTTCATATTTGCGGCCGCTCGCTTGGAATTGTAGGCGCGCGGGGAATTATTTGGGCCTTATTGTTGTTTAAGACGGGGGTGGGGGGCAGGGGGGCCAGATTCACCCGCCTTTGTGGGGAGGAACGTAAAAATGCCGGCGGGACTCCCACTGATTTCGCGGCAGGATAAAGCGCCCGCACGCCTCCTTTTCTCGCCTTGCCTCTTCTCCTTTGTCTTTGGTTTTGCTCTTCCTTCTTCTTCTTCTTTAGCTTGGTGTTGCTATTCCCTTTTTCTTCTTTATCTTGGTTTTGCATTTTCTTCTTCTTCTTCATCTTGGTTTTGCTCTTCATATTTTATCTTGGTTTTCCTCTCCTTTTTTATTCATCTTGGTTTTACTCTCCTTTTTTCTTTATCTTGGTTTTGCTCCTCCTTCTTCTATCTAATCTTCCTTCTTTTTCCTTCTTCCTTGTGCTATTATTCTTCTCCCTTTTACTCTTACGTATTCTTTTTCTTCGTTTCGTCATATTTTGTGCCTGCCTCCTGGTCATCTTTCTCTTCTACCTTTTCTCGTCTTTTTCTGTTTCTCTTTCTCCCTTTTTGATTATCCTTGGTTTCTTACTCTACCTGTATTTCTTCTTTCTACTCTTCTTTTCTTCGTATGATGATAATGATGATGATAATAACAATAATGATAACAACAATTACAATAATTGTGATAAGAATAATAAATTTTGTAATGGTGATGATTATTTGGAAATTATGATAACAAGTATGGTGATTGTTTTTTTTTATTATAATGATTATTATATTTTATATTATTTTTGTTATTGTCGTCATCGTCGTCATCATCATCATCACCATCATCACCATCATTATCAATCCTCTCAAGATCTCTGTATACCATTTTCTTTCTTCATTTACATATTTATTAACTTATGTTTATCTTTAATTTGGCGTGTGTGCGTGTGTCCCCGCCTCCTCCCCCCTCCCCCATCTCCATCTCCCCATCCCCCTCTCCCCTCCCCCTCTCCCATCCCAGTACGCGTGGAAAATGCAGGTGCGAGAGGAGAGGAATGTGGAGAGTAGCCTGCGCGTGTACCTGCCTTGTGTAAGTGGATTACCTGATCGTCCGCGCGACTAGGTGGATGAGTCGTTAATTGGCTGATGGCATTAGAGAAAGTGTAATTGAGCATCAAGGCCCGGCTCTCCCCCAGGTGCAATGGTGGCTGCTGAATGGGCTTGTGGGGAGGAGGTGGTGGAGGCGACCCCGGGGTGCAGAGGGGGTCGGGGAAGAACAGGAGGAGGAGAAGAAGAAGAAAGAAAGAATCTCGTCCTTAAACGCCTCGCCGCCACGCCCTTGCTGTGTCGTTTTATCCTTCCTGCTCTACTCCCTACAACAGGGAATTTGTTGTTTGGCACTTTCTCCATCCTCATCTCGGGATTAAAGGGGCTTCCACCTGCTGGAGCCTCGCCCCCGCGGAGGCTGTCGACGGCCCCGTCAGGAGGAGGCGCAACTGCATCTCTCTCTTCTCTTCTCTTCTCTCTCGCTCTCTCACCCTCTTTCTCTTACTTTCCCTCTCCTTCTCTCCCTCCTCCCCTCCCTCCTTCTCTCCCTTCCTCCCTCTCTCCCTCCCCCAATCTCCTTCTTCCTCCCTCCCGCCTTTTCTCTTTCCTTACCTCCCTCTCCCATCCCCTCTCCCTCTTTTATTATTCTAGGCCTCTCTTTCTCTCTTTTTTCTATCTCTCTCATTCCATCTCTTATCGTCTTCGTTCTGCTCATTTTTCCCTTGCTCTTTCTCTCCCCTCCTTCGCTTCCATCGTCTTCTCTCCCTCCTCTCCTTTGCTCCATCTTCTCTCTGTTCCTGTATCCTTTCTCCTTTGCTCTATCTCCTTCTCTTCCTCTC